TTTAGCGATTCGGACGGTGCGGATTAGCACTTGCGCTTATGTCTCCGCGGATAAGGGCTTCGCGGTATTGTGGTGGAACCGTGCCATACCCCTCACACATTATATAGTGTTGCTGATTGCCATATATTGATACTATTACTTTGTAACTTTTCTGTTCTCTTAAGATCTGCCAGGTGAAATAAGTAGCAATAGCCAGTAAACAAAATAGCAGCTTGCAAACTATTTGTCAAACTGAGCCAAATCAAGGAAACAAGAATTATACAAATATCTTCAATGATAGTTTTGTGGTAAATATGGAACTGTGGGAACTGCAAGATGAATTTTTAATCTTAATTTATAGTGAATTTATTAAAATGGAATCTCTTTGGAGGATTTTAAATGTGTCTTCCTACATTTCTTGCCATCTTAGCTGAATTGCTATTTAGAAAATAAGCTGTCAACAGACTTACGATGTGTCTTAAGTGTTTCTGCCTAATCTCCCTTCCACTGTTTTTCCAGGCCCCACCACAGTCATTTAGACTAATGTTTAGAGCTAGAACTCACTTCTACTTAAATGCATATAGAATATGTGGATGCTTACTTTGGGAATATAAAGAGAAAGAATTTGGCACTCCTGTTCAATTCACTTTTACATCAATCAATTGAGCCAAAATATGCAAGACTATGCATTGAAAATCAAGTGAGTAGGGAGCATCATACCCCAAATGAATTTAGTTGCATCATCAATAACATTTTAGAATTTAAAATATTTTCTTTTCAGTCTAACGGTGATTTTAGTTTTCATCATTGTTCCTTGGAATGCACCCATTTCAGCTAGATGTGGAGTCCCTTTTCTATGGCTTTTGAGATTTGCTGAAGATGTATATGTTTTCCTGATATTGGAAACTGCACAATTTTTAATCAGATTCTTTTAAAATTATATTGTATTGTGTTTTATATTTCATCCTGTTTCATTTTGTACACCACATAGAGATTATTTAAAAAAATTGTCTAGAAGAATTTCAAAATCCATAAAAGATTTTTGAGAGCTAGAGAAAGGCAAATTATGGGAGCTCAGTAACAGCTAAATTGAAAAAAACTAAAATTAATGAAAGAATGAAGGTACCTAAGGATTGTTAGTGAGAACAGTAGGCAACAATGTTATGAGGAAACACAGAAGCAAAGTATCCCCAAAAGATAGTACAGGTAATCCTTGACTTACAACAATTTGTTTAGTGACTATTCAAACTTACAACAGTACTGAAAAATGTGACTTGTGACCGCTTTTCACAGATATGATTTTGCAAATCCCCATGGTCACATGATCAAAATTCAGATGCTTGGTAACTGACTCATAGATATGATGATTGCAGTGTCCTGAATCATATGATCTCCTTTTACAACCTTCTAACAAGTAAAATCAAAGGGGCAGCCAAATTCATTTAAAAACCGGGTTACTAACTTATCAAATGCAGTGATTCACTTAACAACTGTGTCAAGAAAGGTCATAAAAGGGGGCAAAATTCACGTAACAAATGTTTCATTTGACAACAGAAATTTCAGACTCAATCATGATCGTAAGTCAAGGACTACCTATAATTTTCCACCTTTGGATTTGCCCTCATGTTTTGTCAAGGCAGCACAAAGGATGGTAACTATTAGACAGAAAGTGACAGAATTATGCTCACCTCTAATTTCTGTGTAAAGCACACACAAAAATTAATGATCTAAAATAATTTTACTGAGACTATATTGTTCTAAATACAGAAAAGGAAAAACGCCTCCATTGATTATGGCTTGGTTTCTACGATGGACCCAGGAGAAGAACTTTTAGGAATTCCTTCATCAGAATTAAATTTTCTGTACTTGTGTGAACTGCATTTCTGATTAGTTCTGATTATCCTCACAAAACTTGATGTTATAAAAGCTGGGTGAGATTCTTTAAAAGGTTTAAAAACACTTCCATGATTCCTATAACTACAATACATACAGAAAAAAAAGAGTCAAAGTCATCTTCGCCTTCTCCCTTTTCTTTCTCTTGAAGATCAATGGAAAAATCTTCATAAATAACCCCATGAACCAAATTGCTCTGGAAAAAAATTAAAGAAAATGTGTTTTTCTAAGCTGGAACAATAAATATTGTAGGTAAGCTTACTTTGGCTTCATACTTCACCATAAACAAGAAAACAAATATATAAATAAATAAAACTGGAAAATCTAGCTGTATATACGTCTCAAGGAGATGTCACCACTTAATCTTTAAGTTATACAAATACTGAAAATCTAGAAAAGTAAAATATTTAGGAGCATAGTACTCAGAAAATATGTCTATGATCATGGCATGATACATATAATTATTAAAAGGAAATTTTGTAATAAATTCTGTATTATTGCAGAACAATATACAGTAGAACCTATGGTCATGAATGCTTCTGACCATGACCAAATCAGATTCTGACCAAAAAAAATCATTTTATTTTTATTTTTTTGTGTGTGTGGCTGATTTCCCCTTCCGTGTCCTTTTTTTCTGTAAGCAAATTTCCAAAATTAGGTTCAGGTCATGACCAAATTAGTTTCGGACAAAGTTATAGAACGAATGATGGTTGTGACCAAAGGTTCTACTGGATCATTTTTTAAAATTAAAGTAAATATTTAATTGTTCTGTAATTTACATATTTAATATACTGATCGTGATACAGAAAAAACTTTCTCTACATAGCTGCATGTTTAGGAAAACACAAACCTGATGCTAAATTTCATATGGTCTTCAAATATGGTCAGAAAGTTTACCTCATACTTGGAAAACAAGATTTCCTTCATAACGGAAAGAGGAGCAGAAAATTTATGGGGAGCTGGAGTCCAAAACATTTTAAGAGATCCAGGTTGAAGTTTCATCTTAAAAAAAATTGAAAACTGATTTAATATGATATATTATTAAGCATTTATTCTAAACATGTTGCTTAAATGAACAGCAGATATATTGTATGTTATGCACATTTTGCTGTTTTCAAATAATGCAATGTGCTACTACAGACTGCTGGAGGGCATTAAAAAAACCCTTCCATCAAAAGTATTGATATCACCTTCCCACCAGGTAACTTTGAGTGTGAACTCAAGACTGTCTATCCCTTTCAGAGAGCTTTTAGAAGAGTGTTGTGTTTGATGTTTCAAATGTATGATTTAAGCTAAAGTAAACCCTTATACTTTCTAATAAAGTAAAAGTCATTGGCTTCTTTAAAACTGCATATTTCCCAATGTATCTGTTAAGTGGCAATAGCCACATATTGTTGTTTGCCACAAGATAGGGAAATACTTTTAGATAATTTTATCAAAGACAGGCCCCTTATTTTTAATTAACTTCATCCCAGAATAATGACAAAAAAGAAAAGATACACCTTCTATATTAATGTAAGACTCACATATTTTTACAAGCAACTTTATATGTTTGCTTTTGCGAGATTTAAAGAAAACCAATATCAGTTATTCAAAAATGGGATTTCTTAAAAATACCTAAAAGCTTATAAATTACTACAAGTATGAATGAAGTCATACCGTTTTTCCTAATAATTTCAATTGAGGCTTTTCAACATAGAACTCAGCTATTCTTTGCCACTCAGGCATACTTCTTGGTGTCTTTGGAGGTAAAACTTGAATTCCATCTTCTTGACTGCTTTGGCATACCTCAGAAATGGGAAGTCCTTCATTATAAATCCTGAAATAAAGTATATTTTGCAGAAGCATATATATTTCAAAACAGACACAACACAAAGAATCCTCCTTCTTTACATACTGTAGAAAGTGTATCAGTTGGTTACAAAAGACTTTCGTGCATCTCTTCCACAGTCATCAACCATAATTCATATTAACTCATGTATTTTAACTCAGATATATTTATACATATTACCATCATCATACCTCCATTTTCCTTTGACTATAATTGTTTAAACGTCCTTCATCATAAAATATACCAAGATTTAAAACATAATCACACACTGGCATTTCATTTATTATTTCTAAAAATCCACCAATAACACTGAATCCTTATGTCCTATTCT